TGTAACTAATAATACCCCGCTTGAAAGGTGATCGAGAATTCCGTCCGTTTGTCTGTTACGCTTTGAAATGTTTGAGGTACCCATCTCAATCTACTCCGCAACTTTTTTAATACTGAATGAAATTAAACGAGACTTTCACAGAATCTTGGTTACATATGTAGTGCCATTGTGCACCTCTTATTTTACTTTTTGATCAGACCAGAGACATATAATAGATATTTATATGTCTCTGATCAGACGTATACTTTTTATTTCCCATATAAAAACAATTAAGGACATGGCCATTCTTCCTATAATGTTGAAGGGTATCCATCTCTCCTCCGCTACTTTAAAATTACTTAATGCCATTGTGTACCTAAGTATTTCGGGTCTCCCATCTTCTGCAGCGAAACATGGACTTTGCCATTATAAACCATATGGGAGGCGCGGGGTTATCATTTGGTGAGCTCATTGTTCACAGTTCAGGTCTTTAGTTATATCCCTCGCTTGAAAAGCGGGAGGGTATACAGTGACTGGGATGTCCGTTCGTACGTCCGTCCGCCTGTCTGTCCGTTACGCTTCATGGGGTACTAGTATCCATCTCTTATCCGCTACTCCTTTTATACCACTCTTTGAAATTAAATGAAACTTTCACATAATCTTTGTTCTTGTTATATAGTGCCATAGTATACCTCCTATTTTACTTTTTGATCGGACACATACCCGGTTTTCCAGAGCAAAACATGGGCCAATGTCGCAAACCACGGCCCTGGGGCCACATATATTTACAGTTGTATTATTACAATTTTTTATTACATACTTAGTAATAAATACAAGGTTTTTTGCATATGCAATATGCCTGACGTCACATACCATAGCCGTATCAGCCCCGCAGGCTGATATGGATTTGCAGGGCTGATATAGGTTATCAGCCCTGCGGGGCTGATACCATCAACATCACATCCCTAGAAAATTAAACCTAAAAAACAGTACTTGTGATCATACACATATATTGGTGTTACATAAATTCTTAAATTTAACTTTTTAAATGTAACGATAATCTAATTGACAAATAAAAGATTATATTTTCAAATTACGGATCGGGTACATTTGAAATAGAAAGAGAAACAAACCCAAACCCTATGAGACAAAAGACCGTGTACATGTAAGAAGTCCATGTATGATTATTGACTTATTTTCTTCTCAACTTAAATGTGTACTGTATTTTATTACTAAGTATGTATAATGTAATAAAAATAATACTAGTAAAACACACCCTTTTTTCAAATCACATCCTGTATCAGCCCTCGACCAATATCAGCTCTTGGGCCTTTGGCCCTCTGGCTGATATTGGTGTCTTGGGCTGATACAGGATGTGACATGGAAAAGGGTATGTATATTTACTGTTAAATATACGCATAATATCGATATCTTATAAAACATGTCAATATAAGTCAAGTAGATTTTAATTTTTTTTAAATTGACTAATAATGTGAAAATTGAGACTATAATTTCTAAATATTTTTTTAAATCCCATAGATAGAAAAAAAAAATCACTTCGAATAGAAAAGAAAATCAGGCAAATGTACTTTATGAAAAAATTACAATGGTTTTAGGTTTATATAATGCAAAGTTTTTCCTTACATAGGAACTGATTGGCAACTTTTTAGCACCAGCACAACCTTTTTATTTCATTATTTTTTTTTAAATCATGTATATCACTATCGCCATTTGGCGCGAGAATGGTTAGAACAATAAAAAACCACAACGCCTGGTGCACCCTGGACAGCATTTTGAAAGATATACTGTAGACATCGTACAAAAATATTTTTCATGAAATAAAATGTCCCATAATCACACTGTTAGTACAGTTACTGCTACATCCAAGACATAGAGAAAACAGAGAATGAAAATTTATAGGAAATACCGGATGCTAACCTTTTTAAAAATATAGTGGAATGCAAGACAGTTTTTCTAATGATTATGAGCAACGGGTCGGTTGGTTTTGTTTTTTTGTTTTTGTATTTCCCTACATGTAGGGGCGTACCGTTGAATCCAAAAATTATTTGCTTATTAATAGGAAGAGGGGGAACAAGGCGTGCAGAATAGCTTTAGATTTTAAAGAAATCATATTCAGTTTGTAAATTTAAGTATTTAAATTAAGTTCTCATTATTGAAATTTATAAAATTATAAAGAAATAAACCTTTTCCGGGGAAAGAAATCTGGAAAAAAATTATTTTTTTATTAAATTATAAGATGGAAAAATTGGGGTTCGAACTGTAGCAATAAAAATACGGAGTATCATACTGCTTTGGGCCAAAGCGTAAACTAAAAACATATCTTATTTTTTTTTAATTTGGGATTTCAAAAAAACGGCCCTTTTTTGAAAGAAAATTTTTTAATATTGGTATTTTTTTTCATTTTAGGGTTTATCTTTTTTAAAAAGGGGAAAAATTTTTAATTTTTGGGGAAAATTTTTTAAAAATTTTTGGAAAAATTTTCCATTTAAATTTTTAAAGTTTTTAAAAAAATAATTTAAAAAAACTTTGGAATTTTTGAAATTTTAATTTTTCATTAATATTTTAATTTAAGGATTTTCCCCCCCCGTCCCCATTCCCCCCCCCCCCCCCATCTTCTTTTTAAAATTTGTCCTTCAATCATTTAAAATAATTAGGGGGAACAGAGTAAATCTAGTGTATACAAAAACAGTACAAGATACAATCATTTTTTTTAAAATAACAGACAAAAAAAAAAAGAAATTAAAGTTTCTAGATGTTTATTTCTTGTATTGACATTTTCTTTGATAATAACTAATGATTATTGGCATGCATGCTAATAGTCAAAACCTACATGGGGGAACAATTATGTAATGTAAATTGAGGATTTGAAAGTAGATCAAAGGTCAATTGTATTCATAATTCATAGGGTAGGAATTAAAAACCCCCATCTGAATCAGTTTTATCAGCAGTCTTTAAACATAGATTTCGTCTCTTAAAACAAAAACAACTTAACTTAAAGGCTTCTAAACATGTATTACAGTTGCTTATATAGCTACTTACAATAGTATGTTCTTAGAAGGCCAAAGATTATGTTCAAGGCCAGGTTGTAAAGCACAGTATGTGATTTTTAAAAACATGTGAGATCAATTTCAAGGTAAAAGGATCGAGCTCTAGGTACAATAATTTTAAAATCTTGTACTGAAATTTGGTTTGAATAACTAAAATTTTAATGGGAAATACACAGACATACATGTATACACACCCACAATGCATTACTTCACATATTTATTTTCAAAAACCCATTTTGGAATTTTCTTTCGTGATTCTTTCTACATGTATATCACTGTATTCAAGGAAATTTTTTTAACAATACATATTCTAAACATTTACCCGAAAATCTATATATCTAAGTTAACATATATTCAAAATAAAGATTTATTCACAGTTCACCAACCATCTAAGAGTCCTTTTGGGCTTTCTTCTAATTTTAACTTGATCCCCTTTCGAGGTTTTAATAAAGCCGAAGTGTCTAGTTTTACGGGAATCTAAAAGAAACAAGATGTGTTTTGGGAAAAACTGATGCCCCCCTATGGCAACATAGCGAAAGTTAAGCTTTCTCAAATGCATTTCTCAAATACGTTGGTACCTAAAGTAAGGCCTTTTCACAAGAAATAAAAATGTGAAATATGAAACCCTAGCACCATCTGTTTAAAATTTTTGACCAGGCTTAACGTTTTTAAAGGTGAGACAACCCCTGAGTCAAGGTCAAAGGGTCTAGATTGTTGGTTTCTAAAGAAAGACCTTGTCTGAAAGATTACATATCGGAAGTATGAAAGCGCTGGTCCTTTCCTTAAAAGTTTGGCCAAGATTAAAGTTTGTAAAAAGTAGGTCAAACTCCAAGGTCAAGGTCAGAGGGTCTTAAATTGTTGATATCCAATGAAAGGTCTTCTCACAAGTATTATATTGTAAGTATAAAGCCCTAGCCCTTACCGTTCAAAAGTTATGACCAAGGTTAAAGTTTTTTGTAAGTACAAAAATCTCCAAGGTCAAGGTCAAAAGGTCAAAATTTTGGTTTCAAATGAAAGGTGTTGCCACAAGGAATTGATATTTGAAACATGAAAGTCTTAGTTCTACCGTTTAAAAAATTTGGGGCCCAAAAAAAAGTTTGGATTTTTGTGTAAAAATGGGTTAAAAATCCCCAAAGGGAAAGGGCAAAGGGTCAAGGTTCTTGATATCAAAAGAAAAAGGGCTTTCCAAAAGGATTGCATATGTGAAGTATTAAAAAAACCCAAATCTTAACTCTCGAAAAATTATGGTCAAGGTTGTACTAGTATTTTAAAAGTAGGTCAAACTCCAAGGCAAAAGTTAAAGAGTCAAACTTCTTGGAATCAAATGAAGCGTCTTTCCACAAGGATTACATATGTGAAGTATAAAAGCCCTAGTCCTTTGTTTAAATGTTATGGTCAAGGTTAAAGTTTTTTTAATTTCAGAAATCTCTAAGGTCAAGTTCAAAAGGGGCAAAGTTGTTGATATCAAAGAAAATTTTGCCACAAAAAATACAAATATGAAGTATAAAAGTCCTGGTTTTTACTATTCAAAAGATATGGCCAAAGTAAAGTTTGGAATTTTTGGTAAAAGTTGGTCAAACGCCAAGGTCAAGGTAAAAAAGGGCAAATTTGGTGTTACCCAATGAAAGGTTTTGTCACAAGGAATACACATGTGAAATATGAAAGTCATAGCTCCACTAAATCAAAAGTTATGGGCAAGGTTAAAGTTTTTGCGGACAAACAGACAGCTAGACAGACGGACGGACACGACAAAAATTAAACCGCCGAAACTTCGTTTACGGGGGCATGAAAAACTCAGAATTAATTTTTTTTTTTAACGATAAATTATACAATTGTGAAAGGTTCTGATAAAGTTTTGGGCAATTAAAATTTAATACATGTATATCAATGTGGCATATACATGTAAGTTATCCCTGTTTCACTACAAGTAACAAAACGATAATGCTGGGAGTATTAGATAATGGCACATTTAGCTTCCATGGCAGCTAGGCGTTGCCCTATACAGTTTCTAGGTCCATGGCCAAATGGAAGGAAGGCGTATGGGTGACGTCAGCCTTGTTTTCAGGAGAAAACCTGAAAAATTTGGGAAAAATTATTTCTCGCACAAACCAAATCATCATTGAAAAATATTAATTTATGAATCAATAGCTGTTTCAATTTGATCTTATTTCTCTTTTATGCATTTGTTTGTTTGTTTCTTGTTTAACGCCCCTCTTCAGAATTTTTCACTTGCATAGACTCCATCACTTGCCGATGAAAAGTTGTTTTTTTTGACCAATGCTCGGTATTCAGGGCCATTAAGCAGTGAGGAATCTTTTTCATGCCAATTCCTATTGCGACACTGATTCTTTCTATACGGTCCATTCGAAGGACCGGTCTCCACGTCTTGAAGTGGGATATGAATCCATGACGTAAGGATCACCCTTACTCAATAACCCCAGAACAGACGCTCAACGGGGCGACTATTTTTTTTATAAAAGGGAGCTGATAAATATTTATATTAAGTAAAATGTTTCCTGGATAAATACATAAAGGTACACGTAGTTATAGTTATGGAAATATACCTTTCTGGATCAAATTTGTCAGGTTCTGGCCAGTATTTAGGATCTCTCTTTGTGAATAAATAACAAAAAACATATCAACGCCCTTTGGGAAACTTGTATCCGCCTATATCCATCTCAACTTTTGCTCACCCGATCTGTTCTAAAATCAAAATTATCTAGGATATCAAACACTCTTGAAACAAAGAGTTAGATATAAAACCCAATGGCGTGTCTTAGCAAGCGACAGATGCTGTTGAGTGCTTGGTGTTCGCAAATTGGCAATATTTAGCCATATTTCGGCGGGTATAGATGCTGTTGAAATCCAAAGAGATATTTTTGATACAGAAAGTCAAGTATAATTTCCCCAACTTTATGTAATTTTTGTTTTGGTTTCCCGTGACTTTGCAATATGGAGAAAAAAACTTAAACTTGCTTTGGTAATTTAAAAAAAAAAAGGGTTTAGGATTGCTTTAAGATATTAGTTGATTGATCAAGGACGTTCGATCCTGAGCTTTTGAGTGGATTTTGGGCATGTCCTTTATTTATGAAATTCTGCATCAATTTTAAGTTCTAACATTAAATCTGAATTCTACAATGCACAATGAACTATATTCAATGAAAAAACAGCGATTAAATTATATTCAAGTAGAAATAAACTAGGGACTATATTTTGTGGCGGAAGGTTTTTTAACGAAAATGATCAGTTTTTCCCCCTTTTGGGACTATACCAGTACCGTTTATTGGGATTCCTATTTTTCCATGCTGGTTGCACACAAAGCTCTTTTTTGCAGGAAAAGTGTTATGCTGGTTCTGAAAATTAATGAATTATTTCTTATGATTTATAAAATTCTGCATTATTTTTAAGTTTTAAACAATAAATCTGAATTCTACAAATGCAAATTAAAGCAAACTATTTTCAATGAAGAGACTAAAAAGAGATTAAAAGAATCAATTAAAAGATTAAAAGAATTAAAAGATTCAAGAAGAGAGAGAAGAAGAATTAAACTGGAAGCTCTTTTTGTAGCAGAGAGACGAAAATAATAAATTGATAATTAATTTTAGGTGTATACCGAAGCAATTTGAAACCTTTTTTAAGTCACAATTTTAAAGTGCCTTTTTTCAAACAGACTTAGAGTTCATTTTGTTACGAGCTTTAATTGTAAATATTGCAGGGAAAACGTCGAATATGTAATTTTTAATTAAGACACAAATTTCAGTGCAAAAAGGTCATATTAAATATACTGTAGCGCCAAAAGAAGCATGACCTCCATATTTTAATTTGAATTTTAATTAAGCTATGCATGTAAAAACTAAAAAAAAAGTACTTGGCAAAAAAAATTTAAGACCTTAAATATCAGGATCGAACGTCTTTAATATGAAAAATATCATTCGTATTTTAGATTTTAAAAAAGCAATTTTAAATTGTCAATTTAACAAAAGACATGTGCAAAAAAAACATGATTATAGTTTGTGTTTTTTGGTTTGAGGGTGCGGGTGTAGGTGGGATGGGGGCGGATAAAGTACCTTACAGCTGGCGGATAAAATCTAAGTGTCTCATTGAAAACCCACTCCATGTAGTCAATCTTCTGTACATTGTCATAAGTTGGTAACTCCTAGAAATGTTGATAATTATCATGTTACTTATATTTTTTCAATATTATAAAAAGTTAAAAAAAATAAACAATGATCGATCTCAAAAATATCTACAACAATACAAATTTGTGAACACACGTAACATAAAAACACGGGCCCCTTGTAATTCCAGAGTTGATATAATGTGCATGAAGGAGTAAGCATTCCCTGTTTACTGAGCACACCGGTACCCGACATAAGCCGGTCAGTTAGACGAACTTTTCTGTAGTTAAATTCAGTATAAAAACACACGTCGAACTACTTGCAGGTCATTACACGACCCATTTGTAGGTTATATTTGCTAGCAAGGTCATTATATTTCCCACCACAGAAGTTCATACATCCCACTTTAATCCTTGTAACATCAACTTTTTCAGAAGAAACATGACTTACAATAAAAATTGACCGTACTCTGAGCAATACCATAAATGACTGATATTGGAATATTACTACATTAATAGGAAAGATACTATAAAAAAGGTGAATATTATTTCATTAGTCATACAGTTAAATTTTTAAATTTCCTTTATTGTCTTTAGTTAATTAAATACATCCAATGAATCAGATGTTACAGACTCTGTGGTGTCATTTATTTTAAGTTCACTGGGGTATATGAAGTCGATATATGAATGAAAATAACTCTTAACTGTTGATTTATGAAACATTGTCGATATTTCTGAATGTCAAATATATCCATTTTCACGTACACATTTTTAAAAATAAAATCTACTTCAAAGGAAGGGACTGTGGGACGTGGAGACCGGTCCTTCGGATGGTCCCGTGTCGCAGGAGGTGCTGGCACGAAAAAATCCCCCATTGCTCAAGGCCCTAAATGCCGAGATAGGACAAAAAATTTTAGCCCTCCACCGGGGAAGAAAAACTCTCCCGAGGGACGTTAAACAACAGGTCGGGAAAAATTTAAAAAGGGAGCAAAATTAGTGTATATCGGATTTCCAACAAGAAGCCTAGAGGCCACATCGCTCATCTGAGTCTGTTGTTTAAGGGGAAAAAAACAAAAATCAGTTTAGTATTAAAAAACTTAAATGTAGGTGGTCCAAACCTACCCCTAAAAGGCAGAAGGGGTAAGGGGGGGGGGGGATGGTTTTTAAAAACTTGAACTACACTATCAGAGGTTTCTTCTAATCTAGTTTTTTTAAATTCCTTTAAATATTTTACAACACTTTGAGAATATGGTGTACCACAGTACGTCTGATGTTTCTCCAATAGGGAGTTAATTTTTTGAAAGGGAAACAAGAAAATGGCTTGATATAACTTTTTTTGGACACAGTGATGCAACTTTATTGGTGACTACCGTGAGGAATAATTTGGGGGTTTTATAAAATTTTTTAAATTTTTTTTTTTTTTCCTTGGGAAAAAGTTATTTATGATGAAAAAAGAATTTAAACCCCCAAAATTCAATTTTAATTTTACCTTTTCCCCAAAAAATTAAAAGATTTCCTAATAAAAATTTTTCAAATTGGGGGGTTTTTCCAACAATATGCCATAAAAGTCCAAATTTCTCGCCGTTGTATCAAACCCAGCAAGTATGAATAGAAGAAACATTCCCGGTCACTTCATCTTCAGTCAAACCTGGTATAAAAAGGCGTTTTTTAAGTCATTTTGGGTTTTTTGCCCTTTTTCTTTAAAACCCTTTTAAAGTTTTAAAATTAAAAAAAATGAAATTTCAAAAACCTCCTTTTCCTTTTTAGGATCCTCTTCATAGCTGTGTTCCTCTTTTTCATTCTTTTCGGTGTCTTTATGAGCATTCAACATTAACTGTAGCGGGTCTGTTTTATTCTATATCACAGAAAAATAATTGAAATTTACTTTCGGGATAGAAACACTTGTAGTACTCTTTTCAACCTATAGAAAACGATGTAGTAACAACTCAATGGAAAATATGAAAATACTATGAAAGCAAACATTATTCGATACAAAGCATTTATTTGTACAAAAAAACCTAGTTTTTGCCATTTTCAACCTTTTTTTTTCTTCAACTGAACAAAGTTTTTTTGGTTTATATCTTCAGGACATGTACACCATCTGTGTCACGTTTTGGGAAAATTTTTTAAAAAGTTGAAAACTCTTAACTTATCCTCAACTTTGATGCAAATAGAGCTTCAAATGTGTGTGTTTATTTGCATGGTTTCATTTCTTTGAATTCATATATGGGGACATTTCTAAGAAATATCAAAAATGAGAATCTTACTTTTCTCAATTTTTAAACCTTGGTTTAAAATGTGATTGTATTTAGCTAAGGGAATGTCAAATTACTGTCTGATCGAAAAACTTTAATAAAGTTGAACGATAGGCACTACAAAACAATGATTCTTTGAATTCAATATCTTAGAAACTTTTATTCGGTGGTAAATGAGAAGTCGTGGATAAGACGATACCCTTAAACATTGCAGATGGAAAAAGGGGGTAAAAGAGGGAAAAAATATACAAAGCTTTTCATGCGGGAAAGGGGGGAATATAAATATAAAGCAGTTTTGAACAGTAGGTTGCAGAGTATAAAATACGTTTTTGACAGATTTTGAAAAATAATTTGTGGTAAAAAGAATTGTCTGAATGTATACACCGTTACACGTGTGTTGGTTTCAGTATTTCATCCAAATCTGCCGGCAGAGACGGTAGGGTTTTAATTGTAAAAAGTTATTCAGTTGGTGCCAAATACCTATTCCTTCATCTGCATTTTTAAATGCCTGATGTACAGCCGATTTAAAAAAGTTCATTACTTTTCGAAAATTTTTTAACGGTAAAAACCAAAGTAGTCCAATATACGTTCAGCAAATGGCAAAACAACTGAAAATTAGAAGAAAAAAAAATATTTAATATACACTTCCGACTGAAATATGATACTCCACAATATCTAATCTTTTTTTTTTTTAAAATTTTCTTTTAAAAAGCACCAAAATCATGTATACGTATATCGGAGTTTTTAAGTTAAAAATTGAATAACACTAGTATTTATTTGCGCAAAAATAAAATCCAGGTAATATTCACATCTCTTTTATGTGCATTATTGATCTGTAAATCTTGGGGGGGGGGGGGGGGTTGAAGAGTTATCCGTTCAAATGATGATCCTTCAAAAATATTGTTTACGAAAATAACTTAGTTCCCAAAGGGTAATTTCTTAGAAAACTATTAAAAATTCAAAATCCAAGTACATGTACTATGCACATCTCGGATGTATGAACAATTGGTTTTCAAAAAAAATTATAGCTTAAACCCGTTGAAGGAGTTATTCAGAAAAAGGATTTACCCAGGATACATGTACAATATTTCAGGGAGAAAAAAAAACAGTTAAATTACTTTAATAAATGTACAGATAGTTTGCAAAATAAGAAGTTTATATATATTTTTGTAAACTATTGGATGAAATATCAGGACACATCTACAGTATGTATTCTGGCACCCGCCCCACCGATATTCCACCGTCCGCTATTTAAACTATATTAATAACTGAATTCCCTTCGGAGGAACCCCTTTCACAATTAAATTCACAAATATAATAGCATAATAATACATAAGTCGCAAATAAGAAAGTTTCAACCAAAAAAAAAAAAAACTAGCATACATACAAATAGAAAAAAAAGCAACGATAACTTGTTGTTGAACAGCTCTTTGGCATATTTCACAAATTTATTATCTGGGTTTGTCTGCGAGTCTATGTCCATTCCGAAACCGAGGCCAAATTTCCCTCGTGTACCTTTTCCCAAAAATTCTGTAAATACATTCATTTTAAAACTGAAGATACATTTTTAATTTTACAATACAATCTGATTGTACACACAAGTACTCTGAAGTTGACATAAAAAGATGCTTGAGTTTCTGATTGACATTATCTATTTTTTGTTTTTGGCACCAGGTCTTCTAACAATCTATTGCAATTCCCATGGGTACCAATTTTGCTCCGTTATTAGCAGACCTATTTTTGTATTCATATGAAGCAGAATTTTGGGTGAAAGAAAAAAACACTTAATGTGGCCTTTTAAATTGACGAAAGTATAGTCAATTAACAACGGTAATTTCCATTCTTATTTCGATACGATATACATTGTATATACATGTACTGGGGGCTAAAGAAAAAAAAACCCATCAGTCTGACACATCTGTCTCATATTTGGATATTTAACTTGAAAAAAAGTTAATGGAACTAAACACGCAAACTCTATGATAAACGTGCTGACTCTAACTTTTCTATCATCGACTTCCCTTACTTATGAAGCAATATACCTTCATCACCTGCATACGGAGTTTATATATCTAAGTTGATTCAATTCGCAGGAGCATGCTCTACGTAGGAAGAATTTCTAAAATGAGGTAAATTATTGACAAACAAGTTGATTAAACAAGAATATCAACAGTCTCGTTTAAAGTCATCATTTTTAAGTTCTATGGTCAATTCAATGACCTTGTCAGCAAAAACCGTTTTAATTTAGTCAAAATGGTGACTGACGTTTTTAAAAACTTATTGTTAGGCTGTTATTTATACACTAATTTACACGGATTTTTCCGGGCATTTCCCGATAATGACAAGAAGTACACGGCGGGGGACTCCTCCATGGCACCTATCCCACCTTTGATGGTTTGGAGGTCCGTGTTTGCTCTGCTACTATTTTGTATTGTTTTTTATCTGGAATTGGAAATTTTTATCTTGAATACTGTTCGTTATCTCCATATGTTTCATTTAATATGATAAATTGTACAGTTTTTATACAACTTCACAAAACACATATAGATGTGAATCTTTTTTTTTATTTTAAGCGTTGACCACACTATTTAACTGCTACCTACTCTTTAAATTCTATGGTCTTTCCTTCATCCGCCTCTTTTTTAAGACCTTTCCCGCAATAACCCAAAAATTTCTTTCTCAGAATGGGATTCATCTGTAATAATTATATTATTTTCTACAACTATTAAAAATGTCTTTGTATAAACCATCAATTTATTCAAGTGTAAAACTTTAACCCATTCATTACAAAAGCTGACGGTGGCCCCCCTTCATCCTGGGGGCTAGCTGATGGTATTACTTTAGCCCCCCCCCCCCACACACACATCGTTGAGGTGAGCTAAAAAAATCTACGTAAAATATATATAAACATGTACAATACGCTTATACATTGATTGGTTTTTCAAATTTGAACTGTCCTTCAACTGTGACAGTCTTTTGGGAGCAATGAAAATAATTACAGTGTTACACCTTTTTTTTTTGGGTAACGTTAAAAAGTACCCCTTTTTCATTTTCCCACTTGAAAATGTTGGTAAAAGTGTGTTTCTCATAAATCTCCAGTGGTATCTTCAACAGCAGACAAGCCATGTTTGAGTTCACTTTTGTTTCAAAACATTCTGCCAATTAAATTTGTTTTGTGCATTATGTATTGTCCAAAAAAGATTTATGGAAAAAAAAAACCCCAAATTTTTTTGCGACCCAGTTTATCCACAGATTCTGTACTGTGTCAAAAAATGTCGCAAAACAATTCAGAGTTTAAATAGGTACCCTTCCCAAAAATTTGTCCCCCAAAGCTCTTTGTACAAAGAGAGTCACGAATAAAATTTAGGGGAAGCTTAACGACTATTCATACTGTACATAATTTGTGTGGGTGACATAGGAAAAAAAAAAGAGACGCAATATGAAATGATATCTTTTTACATTTTACTACCGACTACTTTAAATCAAGTTTTAGTCTATGCAAAATCCTTTACCATTAAACGCAAGGGAAAAAAAAGGATTAAAGTTTTCAATAATTTTTACATGTTTTACCGTCAGATATAATTGAAAATTTGTTATTGCATTTTAAATTATACGTTTTAATTTTTATCTCATAAAATAAATGCAAACGAATACTTGATTGTCATAAATTCTTACTACTGTACAATCTGGTCCGTTTGTACATGAAATGCACCAGATAACACAAAATGAAAATTATTAATTTTGTTTTTCTATAGATATTGATGATATTTACCAATCTGTTTGGAGCCTTTGAGAAGTCTTTAGTTGTTATTTTCTTGATTATCTCGGGGTCTGCTATCAGTAGAGAAGGAATAGATCCTAAGTAGAGACTACAATTCAAAGGTTTTCAATGTTTAATTTAAAAAAAAATCTTTAAAAAACCTTGAAAATAGACTAGTAAACGCTTTCAATTTTTTAGAAGTCATTAGTTGTATTGAATTGCTTTATTTTATTTTGTACAAAAAATACATGTAAAATGTAAAATAAAGATGTCAAAAATGTAGTCTTACCCGACAATGCTTCCATAGGATTGGATCATCTTTTCGTCAAATCCATGCATTCCCTAAAAGTATACATCTTGCAGTTGTATCTTATAAAAATTTAAATGATATAAATCCATTTATCGTAATGTTATTTTGTTTTATTAATATACGTACTACATGTATTATACATCTTAGATTTATAAGATAATACCATTTGCAAGAACTGTGTCAGTTATTTAAAGTGACAGGACGGCGCATCCACAAAAAATTCCGCTCATATTCCATTATAATTATAAATCTTACAGTGAAGGCACGTGTCATTTTAGAATTCACGTTCTATACCTAATTATCCTAATTGATTTTCCTGCAGATTCTACATGTTCTAATTACATGTACGTTAACTATATATGAGGAGAGAGTATTTATGTTTCTCAAACTGCTGACTTCAAATTTATATCTTATTCCTAAATGATATATTGGATAAATTTGAATGAAAAAGCACGCGATTTGCAGCTGTACTGTCGCTTTAAAAGTTGGAACTGAATTTAATTCGAACCCAGTATATGCATGATCTTAATTATGAGTCTCTATGAACTACAGCGTGACTGATACGTGCATAACCTTTATTCTGGCCAGTGGGCATAGGCATATAAATACATGTTCCATAGATTGATCGAATTTAATTATTCAGGTGCACCAGTCGAAGATAAGATAACAGTTTAAAGTATTCCATATTCCCTGGTTATTCCAGGGAGTAAAATGGATGAAAGGGCCGAGCATTTTAAACAAAAGTCAGGAAAAGCAAAAAAAAAAAAAAAAAAAAAAATAATAATAATAATTATAAAAAATAAAACAATAGTTATAAGAACATATGGTTGTTTTTATTTTAAAAAAGCAGTAAATTAATTATGCA